TTGGCTACGAATAGGAAAATGCAATGGTGTAAGAAGGAGTTACAAAGTGGGGCTAGACATGCTGATTTTACAAAGAGAGATTGAAAGTATAAGGAGCTGTTAAAAGCAGCTCCCGTGCAGCGCAATCTAGGGAGGTCTGGGGGCATGCCTCCAGAAAATTAATATAATGATATAACTTACAGTAATATGTAAAAGTGAGAGAGCTACAGCACCTCCGATTCCGACGCTTCTGGAAAAATGTAGTAACTAAAAGCAATAAGAGATGTAACATTGTTTGTTTGTTATGAATTGCGTGCAAAGCTACACGAGGTCTATCTGCGCTCGCCGTCCCTAATTTAGCAGTGTAAGACTAGAGGGAAGGCAGCTAGTCATCACCACCCACCGCCAACTCTTGGGCTACTCTTTTTGCCAACGAATAGTGGGATGGACCGTCACATTATAACACCCCCATGGCTGAAAGGGCGAGCATGTTTGGTGTGACGGGGATTCGAACCCGCGACCTGCAGTCGAGCGCCAGATATAACATGGTCTTAAACTGAGATTGCCTAACAGTTGCCCTGAGAATAGGGGAATGTAGTAACTAAAGGCTATTTAGTTACATGATATAAAACTACGTTTTATAAGTAACGCAGTGCAAAACAGATTTAGTACATGAAAAATCACCAGCATGGATTACGAATTGGGACATATATATTTAGCATTTCTGTGATTACTGTCAATTTTGATGGAAAAAATGGGACCTTGCAAGCTTGACACCTGTAGCGTCCAGTAGTAAAATATTTCTAGTTTGTTTGTTTTTGTAATTCGTAGAAAAGTTTATTAATATTTCGGTTTGTAGCTGAGATACAAAAATTAGGTAATACCTTCCAGCTAAGTTTCAAAGGATGCCCGCTAATATTTCTTCATGAACGTGTTCTCCATATTAATGCACGGACACTTTTTAGCTTTCATATAAATATTTCTTGTTTAACTCGTTTCATTAGCTCACGCCATATCTCTAGTATTATCGGAGAAAAAAATATCTCTAGCATTATCGGAGGAAAAAATACTCTAAATTCTTAACATCGGTGAAAGTCGTTTGTCAAAATCACTTCCGAGTTCATGATGGTCGTGCTTCTAATTCAAGATGCAAATGAAATATCCTTGTCTATGTTTCACTTTTGGCTTTTGGGGGAGTAATTCAATAATGGAATTTCGTTCATATTCTTTGTTCTTTCCCCTTTATCTTAAATAAACACTTATATGATAAATTGTTCGGACATTTTGAAGGGATGGTCTGTACACAGTGTTTGCTTATAGAACATCATAAACATTCAAATGTATAAGTACGATAATTAGAAAGCAGTAGTTATTCACGGATTTTAGGGTAGGAGAAGCAGACTAAGAAAATAAAATAATATTTCCGAGTTAAAGAAAACTAAACAAAGTGTTTTAGTTGATAGAATACCCATTCAGTAAATCACAATGATTCTTGAAACTGTATATTGGACTTACTGAAAAAAATGTAATTGAAAATAACCAGAAAATTATGTGTTCGGTGCTAACTTGAAAAAAAAATATAAAAAATACGTGCTGGGTTTACCTCTATTTATAACTTGGATTATCCATTTGAAATTATTCTTACATTCTTGTGTTCGTATCTATATTATCAGTTATGTTACAGTCTGGCTATCGGTATTTATTATAGGCTGTAAAAAACCTAAATGCCCCCCAGTGGCACAGCGGCATGTCTGCGGATTTACAACGCTAGAAACCGGGTTTCGATACCCGTGGTGGGCAGAGCACGGATAGCCCATTGTGTAGCTTTGTGCTTAACTTCAAACAACAAAAAACCTAAAATAACATAAAAAAAACGTTTTTCGTCAGTTTTAGTGACATCATAAAAGTGGGAAGTGACGTTAGACGAGATTATTATATCTCTATTATGAGACCCTACACAAATAGGTAGTGACGTCAGTTAGGTAATTTCATCAGTTTTACAATCTTGACATGTACCAGTTGCTAAAGCATTAAGTATCAAAAGACCTAATGGAGAGATCATGCAGCATTTTCAACTTAGGTTGGAATTTTTCACTGTTTATTAATAGTGCGAGAGTGAGAGAAAGTCGGAAAAGTTAGCTTTAACTCAACATATTCTTAGCTTATTTGTGTATAATTTCTAACCCACACTGTCTAGTGGATAATCAGGCTCTACCGAAATTAACTGATGAATTAACTGGAAAGTAATAAAACAATGTTTTTTGAACAATAAAAATGTCGTTTCAAGGGATATTTCCCTTTCCTTTGTTTTGTTAAGTGTTATGAAAATGCTGCTCTTCAATAAAAAGCCAAAAAAAAGTTCGTTGTTAAGCGCAGCTACATAACGGGTTATCTATACTCTGCCCAACGTGGGTATCGAAACTCGAGTTTTAGCGTTATAAGCCTATAGATTTACCACTGAACCACCAGGGAGTTAAAAGTTAAAAATGTCACGTAACGTTTAATTATTAATAACAATAAAGAGAAAGAACCCATCAAGCTCAGTTCCCTTTAATTATAACAAGTACAAATGAGGTCACATCATAATGAGTTCCTTTAATAATTAATAGTAACATATCAAAAAGTCCATCAAGATGAATTTTTTTTTCAATTAGTAGTGTTTTGGCAGGTTTCAATTTTGATAAATTCTTTTGGATTATACTGTAAACAATAATGTAAAGTCAACACTTCTTAGTGATCAAGAAAGCGTTTTATTTCCTCTACTACAAGTTTTATAACTTGTATAAGTTCTATGTAACTACGAAAGACTAAACCTAACAAATAAATAACGTTTTAATAGAAATTCCACTTGTTACTTTTCTCGTATGCGTAAGGTACTTCTTGTATCTTTATTACGCCGTTGAAAACACAAACTCAAAATTTATAACGTTGAACTACTGGCTATTCCAATAGTCAACAATGTACTCATCACTTTAATGCAACTCGCATTTATATACTGCTTAAACTGTTTCTTAAACTTTCAAAAAAATTATAGTACTTGAGATGCGCTCTTTTCACGTGATGTCAAAAACCCTCTAGCCAACAAGAATAAAACAAACGTCTAACTTTAAAATAAAATCATAGCCTACAGCACTGCTTCATTCGTGGGTTGTGAAGACCCTTGAACAATCTTATTATACAAAGAAAACAATGGAACATAATTACCAATAAACTAGTAATTCTTGACAAATAACGAGATTAAATTCATAAATATAGAAATCACAATCATCAAGTCATTAATTAAATGTATTTAATAAAGTACAATCAAAACTTTGATTAACAAAGAAAATTATTCTTTGTTTTTTCATTCACCGTCCAGTCACCATCGTTTTCTGTTTTGTTTATGTGGCTTATGGTGCGAAGAAAAGTGATGAAGTAAGAGAACGGATTGATGAGAATAGCAAAGTGGTTATAAACATCCAGCAAGAAGAAAGTTAGAAATTAACCCTAATAGTAGAAAGCTTCTATACACAACATGAGGTGTGAGTTATTGACATTGAGAAAGAGTAGATATTGGGAATAGCCTTCATGCGTAAACATGGATATGAGATTAGAGCTATCAGACATTTTCACGATCTACGACCAGGGAATCTGGGCGCTGCTGGAAAAGCACTCCACCAGAGGTTGAGCTTCCAGTGAGAACAAGAAGAGAATTACAAAAGACAACGAACCTAAAGTGCGCCACAGCAGAATCATCCATCGTGATTAGTTTTATGGGATTACAGCTAACTGCTTAGCTTCAGAGAAGACTTCTCCAGAAGTATGTCAACTGAAGACCCCGGGATTCCTATCCAAAACACTTCCAGAGTATCACTAGGGATGGAGCCACCTATGGGTTCCCTCAACCACCTATCTAGAAAGAACTCCCACAGTGACAAGACATCAAGTGATAGAAAAGGACAAGAGGTCATCCTATTTTAAAAGAAAGATAAAACTGCTATAAGTTTGAAAAACATGGACATTTCAGCAGAGATTGTGAAGAAACAACAGATGAAAAAGGACAAGGAGACATTACTCTGAGAATGAGGCCAAGGAACAACAAATAGTTAACCAGACTTTGGAAAACAGAATTAGATGGACTTAGAGGGTTAAATTCAGCTGAAAATGGTCGATCTGCTCCAGTTAAGATAAAATAGTTCATTATTTAAAGAAACTAGTCTACAATTTAGTGGATTCATTAACATGTTGGTTCTACAGCTACTACTGTTCGACCCGACCTGGTAATGAATGATGGGAAATTGTCTCCTCCTTTATTTCATACTTTTGTCAGATGTTGCGGTTAATAATTTACAGCCGAAACACCTGTTGTCTTGTTGTTTTCTTTTACCAACCTGAAGAAACAATTGTCTAATTAATCCTTTGATTTTTTCTAGACTTCCATCAGAGGAAATGAATGTTTCCACACTACTTGATCTGATGATCCCGTAATTCCCTGATGATGCTTTTACTTGTTTATCTGACACTTTAATTTATTCAAGTTTTATCGCAAACCGGACAGTTTCCTTTCGCCTAATTCGCATATCCTCAGTCATTAAGGCATCTACGAATTGACTTATGTGCTAATGGATTCATCGCTTCATGTGAAGCATCTGAGTAAGATACTTTGCCAAGCTTTTCTATATCTTCATCAAGTTCAGCCAACCAATTGTATTTCTGCTTTACTTTGCATTGTCTAATGGTTTCTTGATTGGGCAATGTTTAACTGGTCTATAAAATACCGTAACTTAATAAAGTATTGGTGTAGCTAGAGTAGTCCAAGAAAGTCCACCGGGTAGAGGTGACACGACAGTAGTAGTAGTAGTAATTGATGCCAAATGGGTCCTTTTCCGTATTGTATAGCTAATGGTATTTGAAGTTAGAATTCCGAAGAGGTTGCAGAGAAACGTGTATATCGTTTGATCCTTTTATTTGTCAATTTATTTTCTAGATATTTTAACTTGAAATTCCTGTTTTTCTTTAAATTTCCTATCGCTTCTTTGATCTTGTTATTATGTATCTTTCTATGCTTTTCTAATCTTGTTGTTATAAACCTTCTGTACTTCCGTTTTCAGTTCATCGACTCCCTTGTGTACTTCCTCGATTTTGTTCTTGTAATCTTTCTGTACATCCGCTATATCTTTTCAACTGCAATATGTACTTTTTCTTCCTTGTTTTCCATCAAACTTATCTGGTTTTGCAATTCATCTGTAAATATTAGGTCTCTTATAATCCATCTCTTAAATTTCTCTATCTTTTTTCTTGATCTTCTCTTAATTTTCTGCAACTTTCTTCTAATTTTATTTCTTTCGTGTTAATCTTATTTTAATTTTATGTTTCTTGAAAGAGACAATATTAAGGTAAGTTTCCTTTATTTACTCGTAATGATATGGCTTTTCTACAGATTATTTCTACCAATTAAAACAACTTACTTGAGGTCAAACGGCCGTCATATACAAAAATAATTACTATCGCAAAGTAAAATAATATTCAATAAAGTGTCGGTCGAAACTACATTAAGGTAAAAATTTTAAACAAAACTAATAACCAATAAAGTGTTGGTATGGAGACACAATGTCGAGGTAGAAACTGTAAACAAAACTAATGTCCAATAAAGTGTCGTTATGAAGACACAGTGTCAAGGAAGAAACTGTAAACAAAACTAATGTCCAATGAAGTATCGGTTTGGAGACACAACGTCAGGGAAGAAATCTTAAATAAAACTAATTTCTAATAAAGTGTCTGTATGAAACCACATCAAGGTAGAAACTTTAAACAAAATTAGTACCAAATTAAATACCAGTTTCGAGCGATCACATAAAGACAGTGTGGTTAATGAAAAAACAAAAAAACAATAACTATTTTTGATCAATGAGATTTATTAATCAAACGACAACGTGAAGGTTAACAAAAACCATACATATCACGATGATAATACAGAACTAAAAGTAACTAGAACATATAATGAATTCATCGTGACAGTTAATGGTCTTAGGATTCTAAACTTAATCTGGGTTACAATGCTAGTTTTTTTAACTTTACAAGACAACGACCACGTTGATGTTACTGCATTCTTCTTGGTTACTTTCACTGATGATGTTAGAAAACGTCCCACATTCTGTCATGAAAGTAGATGATACTGATAGAACGACCAATGTACCCAAAATAGTTAAATGGCCCTTCACTGCATGTTCAGCTTTGTATATGATTTATCGGTTTGGCTGGTGATCGTATTGTATAAAGTACGTAAGATATGTCCGTTGTCGTTAGACTTGTATTAAAAATAATTCGTAACGCCATCTGTAGGTTTATAAAATAACACCAAGACTGAAGTCTGTTAGGCTGTCTTAAAAGCGTCATCAGCACGCACTAAACCCGCTTTTATCATTGCATTCTTACTTTTCGTTAAGACCAATTAATATCCAGAGTTTCCTGCACCAGCGACCCAGTCCCGACCCATTTCAACCCTTTACGTCACGTCCTAGATGAACTGACGCAGACTTTTTACTCTACTCTCCTAGTCATGCCTGGTAACCACCTCTTACGTATTTTTCTAAGTAATATGTTGAAACATGCTCATGTATTTTGTTGAAATAATTCTGCGAGCCAATCAACATCAAATATGCTACAAGACTGTAAGCCACAGAAGAGACTAATTACTTCTTTGTTAAAAAACAACAACAACAAAAAACATCGCACTCGTAAATGATATGCTTAAATTTGTTAAAAGCGATTTAGTGATTTGAATTCCTACGATATTGTTAGTTGAAAAAGTAAATCTATCCTGGAACAATAATATTTGCAGGTGATTACTGTCTACTAAACAATATTGTTCTGCATGGACAATCTGGATAATAATTGCGTTTGCGGGCATTCAGCTTTTACTTAATAATAACGTTCTACATGAAAAAGCTTTATCACAGTACACTTACAAGTATGTAGTATATACCTAATAACAATGTTCTACATAAACAATCTCGATAACAGTAACACTTTGCAGCTACTATTGTCTACCTAATAATCATGTTCTACATGAATAAACTCGTAACAATGACACTTGTAGACACTTAGTGTCTAATTAATGAAAAATCTCGCTAACCTCGATAACAATGACATTTTACAATCACTTAGCGTCTACCTAATAATAGTGTTCTAAATGAACAATCTCATAATAATTACACTTGCAGGCACTTAGTGTTTACTTAATAATAGTGTTCTACATTAAAAACCTAGATAACATTGACAACTTGGAGGCACTTAATGTCTGCCTTATAACAGTGTTCTACGTGAATAATCTAGATAACAGTGACACCAGCACTTAGTGCCTAACTAATAAGTGTTCTACATGAAAAATATTGATACCAGTGATGCTTGCAGGAACTTATTGCCTACCCGTGTTACTTTGTGGAAATCCAGTACCTTTGATTTGGCTTGAATTTCGCGCAAAGCTACACGAGGACTATCTGCGCTAGCCGTCCCTAATTTAGCAGTGTAAGACTAGAGG